AGAGAGAGAGAGAGAGAGAGAGAGAGAGAGAGAGAGAGAGAGAGAGAGCTTAAAGCTTAAACCTCAAGAATTCAAGTTATGTTGATAAAATATACCACCTTTGTAATTCAGTGAACCTCGTGTTTGAGTCGTAAGACATGTGAGCGATAAGGTGTCAAGTACATTTCATGTCAATATTTCTTTTGTAACCTGACACAAAATTCTAATGAACTTTGTCAAACAGTTTATTTACATTTACAAAATCATAAGATTTTTAGTAATTTTATTTGGTATATAAGGCGCAATATTTTCAAAAACAAAATCACACTAACAATTAATAACTACATTAAAAGTTTATATTAACTACTATATTATTATTAAACAATTATAACAATGAAAGTCTTATTACTTCTATCAGTACTGTATGTAACAGTGAATGCCTTACCGTTTGGCGATCAGTTGGTACCGGGTGTTGACAACAGTAACAAATGGGTGGTATTGTGCTCCGGAAGTAATGGCTGGGGAAATTATGGTGACCAGGTATATAAAAAATTATTTAAGGGATTAATTAAGGATTAAACATATATTAATTTTCAAAATAGGCAATAGTCTACAGGGCGTACCACTTATTCCGATCCTATGGCATACCGGAAGACCATATAATTGTGTTTCATTACGACGATATCGCTTATAACAGCGAAAACCCCACACCCGGTGTTGTGATCAATGAGATCGGAGGTCCCAATGTCTATAAGGGGGTCCCAAAAGATTATACCGGAGAGGACGTCAACCCTAAGGTATATTTAATAATATAAACATAGGTATAAACCTATTTTAAAATAATATTTTATTATAATTATAATTTCAGACCTTTTTAAAAGTAATCCAAGGTGATAAAGAGTTGGCAAACCAGGGTAAAAAGGTTGTCAAAAGTGGACCTAATGATCACGTGTTTCTATATTTTGGAGACCATGGTTCGCCTAGTATGTTACGAGATATTTATTTTTTACAGACATTAGTTTTATAATATCTATAATTTTATAATTAATATAGACATGGTCATTTTCTCAAACGGTGTACTACATGCTGATGAATTAAACAATGCGTTTATATCGATGCATAAAAATAATAGGTTCGCCAAACTGTCCATTTATGTCGACACGTGTTACTCGGGGTCAATGTTTCATAAAATCTTGCCTGATAATATTAATGTCTATGCCACATCATCATCCAATTATACCGAGCTCAGTTGGTTCTGGAATTACGATGATAAATTGCATACTTATATAAGTAAGAAAAACAATATATGATAAAACTATTCATAAAATATTTAATTAAATTAATATTTATCAGGCTCATTCTTTGCAAACAATTGGCTTGTAAATGATGAGGAAAATGACCTGGATAAGGAAACTCTTCAAAAGCAATTTGAATACTTTAAAGAGCACTCTATTGTGAATTATACCCAGTATCATACGACACACCCTATACACGCCCAACAATTCGGTGACCTATCAATCAGTAAACTGACCGTGTCACAATTTTTGGGTATGTAGTAATCATAAATTACTGTATAGTATGTTAGCATTAAAATAACTTATGTCTTTTACACCCAGGTCATAAACCTAAGGGTCAGACTAATACAGTGACCAAATCGGAGCAAAATAATGATGCGGTCAACAAATGGGACGTTTCGCTGGACTTACTTCAGAGACGTATTGATGAGACTGAGGATATCGATGAGAAAAATGGGTAAATATTTTAAAATTTAAAAATTGTTATATACACATTACTTAATTTTTAATGTGTTTTTTAGTTATTTGCAAAAATTGGAAAATCTATACAAAGGTCGCCAGTATGTGGACAAACATATGACTGAATACGTGAATAGTATTCAACACTTAATGCCAAACATCGCAACCAATGCTATACTCCATACGAAACAAGAGCTCAATAATAGACACTGTTAACTAAAAAACACATTAAAAATTAAGTAATGTGTATATAACAATTTTTAAATTTTAAAATATTTACCCATTTTTCTCATCGATATCCTCAGTCTCATCAATACGTCTCTGAAGTAAGTCCAGCGAAACAAGAGCTCAATAATAGACACTGTTATCGACAACTAGTGAACACTTTCCATGAAAATTGCTTTGATTTGACCAAGGTAATCACAATCACCAGATAATAATGATTACAAATGATTAATTTTGTTATAATTTATTTGTTACAGAATTCTTATACATTGAGAAAAATGGATATTTTTGTCAATATTTGCGAGCATTTAGGGCACGACTCTAATGGTGTGAATACAGCGGTCGACCATTTGCTGCAATACTGTCACAATATTCAACCAGAATTTGCCACAAACATTGTTTAATCTGAATAACATTTTTGTTACATTTACTGTTTTTATTATCAATTAAGTTTATTTTTTATTTTTATTTTTTATTGATGTACTTTACAATGAAATTATAATAAATAAAACTTTTAAAAATAAAAATGAACTATTTTAATGAAACTTTTATTAACATCTAAATATTACATACTTTTAAGCAAATAAATACGTGTAACATTAATTATTCATCGCAATGCACATAAACATAATGATTTACATTTTAATTTTTAACGTGAATTGTATTGAAATGTACATATTTTGTGTAACAATTTTAAACAAATATTATTAACATTTTATTGTATATTTAACAATGATTGCTGAATATACTTACGGATTAAATAATTCTTATTGACAGTGGTATTCATAGTGTCGACTTAAGTCTTAGCTGAGTCTCACATTTTAAGTAATTGTGCTGGTTTATAAAACACATTTAATCTGACAATGCAAGAACGGCAATTGTTATTCAGTTAATTAAATAAAATAAACTGGATTATACTCGTATGGTATGGTATAATAGGACTGTCCAGGTCCGGTAATCTAGCGGAATGTCCTTGGTGTCCAAATCGGTGATTATATCGATCGACGCGCTATACATTTTTGCTATAAAAGCCCATTAAACTACTCATTCTATACGAGTCAGAGTTTCAATTCTATGAATGAGTGTATTTCACAGCAAAAAGTATAGTTTTTATCGCGCGTCGACCGATATAATCACAGATTTGGACACCAAGGACATTCCGCTAGATTACCGAACCTGGACAGTCCTATTATACCATACCATACGAGTATAATCCAGTTTATTTTATTTAATTAACTGAATAACAATTGCTTTAACAATAACTTTAATTAATGAACTAACTGTATAATTTATATCGGTATAAAAGAGCAGAATATGTCATTCAATATAAATGATATAAAACTTCAATCATTAGTTTCGATCATTTATTAACAAGAAAAACATACTTCAAGACAAACAATGAGAAAGAAAAATAAAGTATTACATAATTATGAGAACAAAATGTTCGCCTATTATTACATATACTGTACACAAAATTTACATTATTATAGCAAACTTATAATATTATGTTCAATAATTATTACTTAAGATTTTACATTTATTTTCAACACAAATCGTTAAATGTATACTAAATATCTAAATCAATATATCTAACCAAGTGAACTACTTGAATTATGTATATATATTGAATGTTTACGTCTAGTATGACTTACATTAGATTGTTTATGGCAATGTAAATATTTCATATGAATTTCTGGATTATAATATTTCGACACAATAAGCTCTAAAATGAGTACCAGGGAACAAAAAGCATAGCAACTGCACGTTGTAATTAGCAACACAACTATCAAGTCAAATTTTATACTGGACTTAACTTCATCTTTAATATGAGTCCTGTTTTTATATTCATCGTAATGTTTTTTGCCCTCCATTATAATATTCAGTTTATTCATGTCCTCCATTTCCGCGCTAATACCCGACTCGACCATTATTTTAATCCTTTCAAACAATGTATAAATATTTTAAACAGATATAAGTTTTAGTATTTAGATTTATAATTTATTTAAACATTCATGTAGTTTTACTAATAATGTAACTTACACATTTAGTAGTCGTTCCCTTGCTTTTGTGTAATTCTTATTTACAGGGTAAGTTATGAGAGCCGGGAAATTCATTTCACTGGAAATCTCTAATTTAAATTCTTGATTCAAATGCTTCCGGGCGAATATTGCCTCCAAATAACTCATATAAACATATTTTCTTTCGGATACTTCTTGTAAGATATCCTAAAATGACACATAGTATAGAAGTGTTACCAGTGACAATTTAATCATTCACTAAACGCTAACTTTTTGATCCGTTGGTTCATTTTCCCGATCCACATATTCAATTCGATGGGTTTGTCTCAATGTGTCTAAACTGGGAACCAATGGTAGCTTTTTGTTAGGATTGTCGAAGTTCTTAAACTGCCACCATATGTACGACTCATTAGCCACATATGCCTTTAAATTGGTTTTAAGCAACTGGTCCATCGAGTCAACCCATACGGTCTCCCTGTCCATCAAAGCCGACAATATACCAGAACTGAATACATTTGACAGGAGGAGTGCCACCAGAGACCAGATTGCGATCAGAAATGATATCTTATGCTCTTTTTTAACTTGATTTATGAGTTGTGCTGTCGTCTCAAACAGTATAACACTAATACTTTTGTGCTCATCTGATATGTATTTTTGAATTTAATATAAATTTCAACTACTAACAATTGATAAGCTTAGCATACCTTTTAGCTTGCATTCAATATAGTGGACAATTGATACAATGAATATACTTAATACTACGAGTAGCCAAACATTGAGTGCATAGACATTAAGCATGATTGCTATATTGGGGTCTTTAGTATATAATGCACTCAGAATGACCATGTTGTATTCATCCTTAAACCACTGGCCTACTGCAAACTTTGCAAATGCTTTAGTGATGGCCCACCTGGCCAGCACGGCATCAACGTCCTAAAAGCAATCACATTTTTACAATTAATATTTTAAGTTTAAGTTTGTAACTACTGTATTCATAATTACCTGATTCTGTTCCATATAAGGTTTAACATCAAAATATCCAGGATGTGTTTGCAAAGTGATATTAAACTTACTAAACACCCCGCTCGCCAATGCCGTCACCACTCGCACATCAAATAGACATAGTTGCTAAATATTTCAGTTAAATTTAAATAAATATTAATTATTGTATTCAACAATGTTGTATTCAATATGTCTATTAAACACAATAAGTATAACAAAATGTGTAACTATTTCGTACAGGATTAAAGGCAGCAATGGTAAGAGACAGTTCGCTGGAGGGGTCGCCCAACTGGTTGTCACCCAATTTATATTCTTTACACTTTTTTAGATAATAAGCCATAGTTCATCTAGATAATCCAGATAAATGTTTTTATTTTATAACACCTAAATGTGAACACAAACAACTACAACTGTTACAACTCGGCCCTCAAATAGACATAAATACTAAAGAAATAATTAAAATTAATTAATTATGAATTTATATCGATTGTATCAATTAATTATTATTAAATCATACATTACTATAGGAGGCTATGGTGAGAGATAGTTGACTAAAATGATCACCCAATTGATTATCGCCATGATGATATACAGTACATTTTCTTAAGTACTGAGCTATTGATGTTTAATGTTTTGAGTTTCAAAATGAGATATTTTATTTTTAAATCTACTGACATCAAAATAATAGATTCATGTATGCTATTTAATAAAGTATAGGTATAAGTGTATTTATTATAAGATATTACAAAAATTAATATATAAAATATAGATGTCATATACTTTATTGTTATTGTACAACTTAATTGCTTTATTAAATCTGTTTACATAAAAGGCGTGTTAATAAAAAAAATATGCTAATTAAATATTTTACTTTCACAAAGTTGGATAATTAAAATAATGGTATACCTTGAATCGATTAATTTGTACTATGAAATTAATTTTATGATTTCTGGTAATATTTTGTACTGTACTTATATATTTTTAATCACAATTATAATATACTATTCATATCAATTTTTACAAAAAGTAATGTAAAAGGATTTTATATAAATTATATGAATTTATACTAAATCCTTATATATGTATCTCGATTATATGAAAGAGGGACAATTATTTCTATGAGTAATATAGGATTAAGCTTTATTTGGAGCGTGTCTCATAGTAAACCAATGCACCACGTTCTATAAAAATCTTAATCTTATATTACTCATAGAAATAATTGTCGCTGTTTCATATAATCGAGTCACATATCAAGATGTGAGTTAGTCAAATACTCAACAATAACATGCTTTTATAAAATAATCAATTCATTAACAAATAATCTTAAAAACAACGTGTGAGTGTGTGGGCTTAAAGAATGCGACATAACATTGATAAAATATATCACCTTTATAATTCAGTGAACCTCGGGCTTGAGTGGTAAAACATGTGAGTGATAAGGTGTCAAGTACATTTTATGTCAATATTCCTTTTGTTACCTGACACAAAATTCTAATGAACTTTCTGGGACAGTTTGTTTGCATTTACAAAATCATAAGACTTTTAGTAATTTTATTTTGTATATAAGGCAGCACAATCTTCAAAAACAAAATCATATTACAAATATTAATTACTAACAATTAATAATTACATTAAAAGTTTATGTTAATTATATTATATTATTATTAAATAATTATAACAATGAAAGTCTTATTACTTCTATCAGTACTGTATGTAACAGTGAATGCCTTACCGTTTGGCGATCAGTTGGTACCGGGTGTTGACAACAGTAACAAATGGGTGGTATTGTGCTCCGGTAACAAAGGCTGGATGAATTACGGCGACCAGGTATATAACCAATAATTATTATAAAATTTAATAAAGTATTAGCCTAATATTAACTTGCAAAATAGGCAATAGTCTACAGGGCGTACCACTTATTCCGATCCTATGGCATACCGGAAGACCATATAATTGTGTTTCATTACGACGATATCGCTTATAATAGTGAAAACCCCACACCCGGTGTTGTGATCAATGAGATCGGAGGTCCCAATGTCTATAAGGGGGTCCCAAAAGATTATACCGGAGAGGACGTCAACCCTAAGGTAATTTTAAAAATAAATATCATGCTGTAAAAATAATTTATTATTATTTAATAATTATAATTACAGAACTTTTTAAAAGTAATCCAAGGAGACAAAGAGCTAGCTAACCAGGGCAAAAAGGTTGTCAAAAGTGGACCTAATGATCACGTGTTTCTATATTTTGGAGACCATGGTTCACCTAGTATGTTACGATATATTGATTTTACAAACAAAATTATTTATATAATATCTATAAATTTATAATTAATATAGACATGGTCATTTTCTCAAACGGTGTATTACATGCCAATGAATTAAACAATGCATTCATATCAATGCATAAGAATAATAGGTTCGCCAAACTGTCCATTTATGTCGACACGTGTTACTCGGGGTCAATGTTCAACAAAATCTTGCCTGATAACATTAATGTGTATGCCACATCATCATCCAATCCCACCGAGCTCAGTTGGTTCTGGAATTATGATGATAAATTGCGTACTTATATAAGTAAGAGAATAATATTTATTATGAGATAAAAATATTCATAAAATATTTACTTACATGTATATTTATCAGGCTCATTCTTTGCAAACAATTGGCTTGTAAATGATGAGGAAAATGACCTGGATAAGGAAACTCTTCAAAAGCAATTTGAATACTTTAAACAGCACTCAGTTGTGAATTATACCAAAGACCATACGACACACCCTATACACGCCCAACAATACGGTGATCTATCAATCAGTAAACTGACCGTGTCTCAATTTTTGGGTACAGATTATTCACAAATTATAGTGTAATAATATCAAAATAATTCATTGCTTTTATACCTAGGTCATAAACCTAAGGGACAGACTAATACTGTAACCAAATGGGAGCAAAATAATGATGCGGTCAACAAATGGGACGTTTCGCTGGACTTACTTCAGAGACGTATTGATGAGACGGAGGATATCGATGAGAAAAATGGGTAAATATTTTAAGTTTTAAATATTTTGTTATATATATATTTTACTTAATTTTTAATGTATTTTTTAGTTATCTGCAAGAATTGGAAAATCTATACAAAGGTCGCCAGTATGTGGACAACCATATGACTGAATACGTGAATAGTATTCAACACTTAATGCCAAACATCGCAACCAATGCTATACTCCATACGAAACAAGAGCTCAATAATAGACACTGTTATCGACAACTAGTGGACACTTTCCATGAAAATTGTTTTGATTTGACCAAGGTAATAACAAACACCAAATAATAATGATTACAAATGATTAATTTTATTACAATTTATTTGTTACAGAATTCCTATACATTGAGAAAAATGGATATTTTTGTCAATATTTGCGAGCATTTAGGGCACGACTCCAATGGTGTGAATACAGCGGTCGACCATTTGCTGCAATACTGTCGACACAATATTCAACCAGAATTTGCCACAAATATTGTTTAATTTGAATAACATTTTTGTTAAATAGTATTCAACACTTAATGCCAAACATCGCAACCAATGCTATACTCCATACGAAACAAGAGCTCAATAATAGACACTGTTATCGACAACTAGTGGACACTTTCCATGAAAATTGCTTTGATTTGACCAAGGTAATCACAATAATCAAATAATAATGAATACAAATGATTAATTTTATTACAATTTATTTGTTTCAGAATTCCTATACATTGAGAAAAATGGATATTTTTGTCAATATTTGCGAGCATTTAGGGCACGACTCCAATGGTGTGAATACAGCGGTCGACCATTTGCTACAATACTGTCGACACAATATTCAACCAGAATTTGCCACAAATATTGTTTAATTTGAATAACATTTTTGTTACATTTGCTGTTTTTTATTATCAATTAAGTTTTTTATTTTGTTTTTTACTGATGTACTTTACAATGATATTATAATAATAAAAATTTTATAAACAAGTATGAGGTCTCTTAATTAAACTTATAAACTAATAAATAACTCTAAAAATGATTATCTACAACATTGCACAAAACTAAAATATTTATTTAAACATAAATATATATAATTATTTACTTATTTACTTTAAAATAAAGACTTAATTAAGATAAATTTTTACATTAAAATGTAAATATTTTGTTTAATTTAAAAAACAATAAACTATTATTATTAACATAAATTTTTTTATAATGATTGTTTAAAATATTTACTGATAAAATTAGACATGTTTAAATATAAACTTTTTATTATACAGGCCTATTATATTGTCAATTACGGTCTTTTCATATAAATAACAACTATTACACTATTTATTGCATGTTTATAATAGTGATATAGCAATAATTATTAAAATAAAAGTAGCTATATATTATTCGTGTAAAATATTCAATTATTTAATATATTATATTATAAAAACTATATAATATATAAAATACAGAAGTAATTATTAAGTGACCTTAAACCTGCCCTGAATATACAATTAAGTGTATTATATAACATTTCTTACATTACTAGCAGATTACTAATCAATATAACAGACATTCAGTAAACACTATAAGGTATGTGTAAATAAACTCTGCAATCATATACTAGTGATACAAATACCGTATTATTGATTGATATACAGGTGTATGACATTGGAAAATACGTTACATTTATTGCAATTACACGAGTAATAAAGTTATACTAATAAATTAAGAATTGGTATAACTTATCTGGATGATAAGAAAACTATACTTATTATTAATAAGTTATTAATAATATCAAGTATTTCAGTTACAATGAACTGTAATTTATTTACATTTTACTAATAAATTTTCATTGAACTCATACCTCCCAGTGCTGTATCTTAAATAGGTGCCTTACATAATCAATCAATTACTTTTTGAAAATACATTATTAATCAAGTCCCTTTGTTTAAAAATTGTATATAAGTCGTGACAAAAAAGTCTAAAAATTATAACATTTTGTGAATACAAACAAACTATTCAGTAAAATATGAAACAATTGCTAATTTTGTCGTTAGTTTATTTGGCTGTAAATGCGGTACCTTTTGGACACCATTTACCAGCACCTGGATATAACGGTACGACATGGGTGGTCCTATGTGCCAGTGCTGATGGTTGGTATAACTATGGGATCCAGGTAATTAATTAATAGTCTCTCTCTCTCTCTCTCTCTCTAACGGATTAAAATTTTTGAAACTTTTTTAGGCCGACGATATGGTGCGGATGGTTCACTAGTTTCGGGTCCCGTATGGGCTGCTTTTGTATTATCAGAAAGTAATGCTGCTGAATGGGTGCTCATTTGTTTTGGGATGCGGGCCATAACACCAATTGTTTGGGCTCGGTCCCGATGTCTATCATGGAGTTCCCAAACACTTTACCGGCAAAGATGTCACACCAGAGGTAGGACTTAATGGTTTAAAATTAATTTAAAATATTTTGTTTATAAATAATTTTTTGCAGAACTTTTTGGCTGTACTTAAAGGCAACGAAACACTGGAAAAGTCGGGAAAGAAGGTCGTTAAGAGTGGACCTAATGATCACGTGTTTGTCTATTTAATGGACCATGGTGGCCACCGTTAGTTTACTATTAGTTTTATTAAATTAGAACAATTAAAAATAATTATTTATATAAATATAGAAATAGTAGCATTCCCAAATGGCATACTACACGCCCAGGACTTAAACAACGCGCTAATAGATATGCATAAAAATAATAGATTTTCAAAATTGGTATTTTATTTGGAAGCATGCGAATCAGGTATTACAATTATATTAAATTATAAAAACCTAACTTATTGAAATTTAATAATTAAATTATATTCCGTACCTAGGTTCTATGTTTGACAAATTATTACCTACTGACATAAATGTATACGCTATAACCGCTACTAAGCCTGATGAGTTGGGTTGGTTTTGCTACCACGATGCTAAAGTTTATAAGACCTATCTGGGTATGATTATTAAATAATTAAAATTTTACTTGCTTAATACTTGCTCATACTCATTTATAGCTACATTCTTTGCGGTCAATTGGTTGGTAGACAGCGAGGGTCATGACCCTAAGGTCGAGTCACTTGAACAACAATACGAGTACATTAAAGCCAAAAATAATTTCACCATGGACGGTACGGTGCACACGCAACACGCGCAACAATATGGCGACTTGTCCATAGCTAATTTGCACCTATCAGAATTTTTGGGTATAGTTATCACATAAAAAGTTGATTGTGTTTAAATCTAAAATTTATTTATTTATAAAGGTACCAAAAAGTCTTCTCGAATGCATATGAATTCACTCCCATTGGATATGAATGGCCAGGAATTTGTGAGTTTCAGAGACGTTGCCATTCGGGTGTTGGAGAAGAATATTGAGTCGACGGACAATATATCCCTTAAATTAGGGTACATTATATCAAATGATTTTTAATAATATTTTTATAAATTAATATTTTTTATATAAAATTATAGTTATACTCAAGAATTGGAGCGCATATTGAATGGCCGACAATATGTGAATAAACTATTTGCTGATTACGTGAATAGTATCCAACATTTGCTTAAAGTTGAGAACCAAAACCACACCTTCGCATCCATTTCCCTAAACACCTGACCCCTAGCTTTGGCCTGAAGACTATCCAATGAGCCATCCATATAGTCCATGACAGCGCAGTGGAAGCTATAGTTGAATTGATTCAAAGGGTCAGGGATTCCGAACACCCTGAGCATTTTCATGATATTGTAGTGACTTAGGTATTTCATAATGCGGATCTCTTTCAACAACTGACCAATTGTTACCCTCAGATCCCGTTCCTCGCCGGGAAGCCGCCTGCCCTCGTAGTACTTAAGGCTAACGACTTTGAGGGCGTAGACCTTGGTCCTGTCCCGGGTGTCAAACACACGCCATATCTGATTGTCAAAAGGGTTCCGCGCGACCCATACGAAGGGTTCTGAGTCCAGCTCTAGATCTTGGACTGCCGACAGCCATTCCCGATGAGTCAATTCATAGCCCGGCCCTCCAAATGCGTAATTCGTGTCCTCGTAATGCTGGCCCACGCTGTCAAACGTGGGAAACGCTTGCGGGAACTGTAGGGGCTGGTCGGGTCGACCCGGCTCCGGGATGGTGTTGAAGTAGTAGTCCCTTGGTTTGCCATTTCTATGGCCCGTGTTTGCGGTGTTTTGTAAAATGAACTGGTTTGCAATTGTTTTGTTTGAAACATTTGTTGAAAATGTTTTTTATTTTAAAATTTATATAATTTTTGAAATATGAAATATTTTGTGTACATAAGTGAGTTAAGGGGTTAAAACATATTAACCAGGATTTAACAAAGTATAAATACATGGTTGAATAATTAAAGACTTTATATTTTAAAAAAAATTTTGGAATTGAATTAAAACATTTATATTACTGTGAATAACCACTGAAAACTTATTTAAAATTAGGCAATTAAATTAAAAATTGAAATCATATACACAAATAAAATTTAGTCTATTAAATGAAATAGCGATTTATCAAGTTATAAACCAGCATCTAATTTTACATATTGTTTTGTATACATAATATCGTTTAACCATAATACATCCAAATGATCAGTATTATGCTCAGGATCAATGCTAAAATAATTATGAAATAATAATTTTTAGACCAGTAGTGATGGTGAAGCCTACTGGCGGTGTGTTGGTACTGTTGTGCCCCATGTTGTACGTCTGCACTAATGCGCTACATAAATTGTGGTTATGTATTGTGTTTAGTAACTTAAACTTGATAATAGTTTTGAATGCAAATATAATTTATATATTGACTTGTTTAATTAATTATTATAGTTAATAAATATTTAATAGACTTATTTATTTAATTAAAACATTTATTTTGCTTATTATTATTATTATTAACTTAATAGCTATTATTATTCCTTTAATTAGTGAAGTTATTCAGAAAACATACCCTGATCTGTGTTTCCATAATGCGTTTATTTGTATGAATTGCCGGTTTGGGGACAGTTGTGTTTGAATCCATTGCCTAAATTATAGTGTTATCCGGTGTGAATTAATGTTCTAGTAATATAAAGTCTAGTAGTATACTGTATTTATCTTTTAAATGTCACAACATTTACAGAATATCAAGTATAATAATACAAAACTTATTTATCAAGAAAATTAAATTTATATTGACTTGATTGTCATTTGGGCGTTTATGCAAATGTCGAAATTAATTGTTTTTATTATATACCAAAGATAATTAGATACCAAATGAATTGAGTATAATTTATTGCACCATAATCTAGCAATATAAACATGATCAATACGAGTTTAATGAAAAATTTGTATAACTTAAAATTTTGAACGATTAACCTCATAAACATGAAAATAGTTTAATTTTATTGAATATGCCTCATAAGAATATTTGTGTTGACATTTAGATGTTATAAAATTAAAACATTTATCTGGATTATCTAAATGAATTATGGCTTATTATCTAAGAAAGTGTATAGAATATAAATTGGGTGACAACCAGTTGGGCGACCCCTCCAGCGAACTGTCTCTTACCATTGCTGCCTTTAATCCTGTACGAAATAGTTACACATTTTGTTATACTTATTGTGTTTAATAGACATATGATACATTGTTGAATACAATAAGTAATATTTATTTGAATTTAATTGAAATATTTAGTCTTTATGTCTATTTGATGGGCGAGTAGTGACGGCATTGGCGAGTGGGGTATTTAGTAAGTTTAATATCACTTTAAAAACATATTCTGGATATTTTGATGTTAAAGGTCATATGGAAACAAATCAGGTATTTATTAATACAGTAGTTAAACACTTAAACTTAAAGTAATAATTGTAAAAATGTCATCGCTTTTAGGACGTTGATGCGGTGCTGGCCAGGTGGGCTATCACTAAAGTATTTGCAAAGTTTGCAGTAGGCCAGTGGTTTAAGGATGAATACAACATGGTCATTCTCAGTGCATTATATACAAAACAACCCAATATAGCAATCATGCTTAATGTCTATGCACTCAATGTTTGGCTACTCGTAATATTAAGTATATTTATTATATCAATTGTCCACTATATTGAATGCAAGCTAAAAGGTATGCTAAGCTATTATCAATATAATATGTTAGTAATTAAAATTTATATTAAATTTATAAATACATATCAGATGAGCACAAAAGTATTAGTGTTGTACTGTTTGAGACGACAGCACAACTCATAAATCAAGTTAAAAAAGAGCACAAGATATCATTTCTGATCTCAATCTGGTCTTTGGTGGCACTCCTCCTGTCAAAAGTATTCAGTTCTGGTATATTGTCGGCTGTGATAGACAGGGAGACCGTATTGGTTGACTCGATGGACCAGTTGCTTAAAACCAATTTAAAGGCATATGTGGCTAACGAGTCGTACATATGGTGGCAGTTTGAGAACTTCGACAATCCTAACGACAACCTACCATTGGTTCCCAGTTTAGACACATTGAGACAAACCCATCGAATTAAATATGTGGACCGGGAAAATGATCCTACTGCTCAAAAAGTTAGTGTTCAATGTATAATTAAATTGTCACTGGTAACACGCCTATTCTATGTGTCATTTTAGGATATTTTACAAGAAGTATCCGAAAGAAAATACGTTTATATGAGTTATTTGGAGGCTATATTCGCCCGAAAGTATTTGAATCAAGAATTTAAATTAGAGATTTCCAGTGAAATGAATTTCCCGGCTCTCATAGCTTACACCGTAAATAAGAATTACACAAAAGCAAGGGAACGACTACTAAATGTGTAAGTTACATTATCAGTAAAACTACATGAATGTTTAAAATAAATTATAAATCTAAATACTAAAACTTATATCTGTTTAAAATATTTATACATTGTTTGAAAGGATTAAAATAATGGTCGAGTCGGGTATTAGCGTGGAAATGGAGGATATGAATAAACTGGGTATTATAATGGATGGCAAAAAGCAATACGATGAATATAAAAACAGGACTCATATTAAAGATGAAGAGCAGTCCAATATAAAATTTGAATTGATAGTTGTCCTGCTAATTACAACGTGCAGTTGCTATGCTTTTTGTTCCCTGGTACTCATTTTAGAGCTTATTGTATCGAAAAATTATAATCCAGAAATTCATATGAAATATTTACATAGCCGTAAACAATCTAATGTAAGTCATACTAGACGTAAACATTCAATATTTATACATAATTCAAGTAGTTCACTTGGTTAGATATATTGATTTAGATATTTAATGTACATTTAACGATTTTCGTTAAAAATAAATTTAAAACATTATCTTAAGTAATAATTATTTGACATAATATTATGTGGTCAGGTATTATGTTTAGTAAATTAAAATTGATAATAGTTATGAATACAAAATATAATTTATAGATAATAGACTGTATTTATTTAATTAAAACAATTATTTTGATTATTATTATTTTTATTAACTAAATAGCTATTATATTACTTTAATTAGTGAACTTATTCAGAAAACATACCCTGATCTGTGTTTCCATAATGCGCCTATTTGTTTGAATTGCCGGTTTGGGGACAGTTGTGTTTGAATTCATTGCCTAAATTATGGTCTTATCCGGGGTGAATTAATGTGTCTAATAATATAAAGTCTAGTATTATATGTGTCTTTTAAATGTCACTATATTTACAGAATATCAAGTATAATAATACAAAACTTATTTATCAAGAAAATTAAATTTATATTGACTTGATTTGTCATTTGGGCGTTTATGCAAATGTCGAAATTAATTGTTTTTATTATATACCAAAGATAATTAGATACCAAATGAATTGAGTATTATTTATTGCACCGTAATCTAGTAATATAAGCATGATCAATACGAGTTTAATGAAAAATTTGTATAACTTAAAATTTTGAACGATAAACCTTATAAACTTGAAAATAGTTTAATTTTATTGAATATGCCTAGAGATAAATAAAATTGTAGATAATGTTTACAAATATTAATATTAAATGGTTTCATTATCCTTCAAATTGAAATTTTATATCTTAAATCCCAAATGAATTATTATTCATAAAATCATTGAGTGTTTAGAAAAATGTTTATTTTTGGATGAATTGAATGTAAACTTTGATGGAAACAAACTTTTCTAAATCAAAGCAGAAATCAAATGTTTTTGATGAACCAAATGCTTGTGTTTTATATAATAATGCCTTTGGATATTAAAACTACTGGATCCCAGTGTTGACCCAATAGCCTGTCCCGGGATCAATGGACCCAACCGGGAGGGATGACCAGATGTGGCGCAAAGCAGCCATAGGCAGTGGTGTTAGGCCGTAGAGTAGCACCGGGAGGCCATTGAGTATTCTGTTGAGCGGTTGACAGAGACAGATATTGGGGTCCATGAGTGGCCGCGTATCCCGACTCAGTTGACGTCG